GCTTCGATATGATTTTTTCCAATTGAAGCAATTAGATCATATGAGATGTCTAGTGAGGAATTTTGGCAGGAGCCTTCAGTTGAAATCTCAGGTAAGTCAGAACTTTGAACGAGTTTGGGTTTTGATGACTTCTTTTTCTTTTTTTGCTTTTCCTGTACACGATCTAAGAGGGACCCACCCGTCTCAATGAACTCAGAAAATAAAGGGGTCCTAGACGAACTAGATAATTCACTTGTAATTGACTCGTCTAACGACTTTAAAGATCCTACAATTGGATAATTGTTTTCTTTTTCTTGGGGGTCATTTTCTGAAGGAGGGACTGATGAGACGGATTGTACTTTTCTAAGCTCCTCGAAAAAGTGGTTTCTATTTTGCTGTGAACGCTCACAATCATTCCATATATCATGAACACGGTTTTTATTAATATGGTACTCATTTACTATCATGTACACTGGAACCTTATTTTTGAGATATCTAATTTCTTCAATCTGTCCAGGTGTTAAAATGGTGGCACCCCACCGATAATGGGTTTTTAAAATTGAGATAGACATAATCTTCCGATATTTTTAGACAGTGTATTTAGATGCATAAAAAATATTAGGTATTAATATTTATCGTTTTAGATAGATAATAAAAATTAGAATTCAATATTTATTATTTTAGAATGAGAGGAGACGTTAGAAAGCATAATTTATTGTTTTAGGTGGGTAGAATACATTCTAATACGCTATCTAAAATAATAATAAAAATGATCGATAACCTTCATGTTCATTTTTTATTTATTGTGATTATTCTCTAACATAAAATTTGAAAGTTTTTTTTTACATATTTATGGCTAATGTAAATAAATGGGAACATATGATCTTGAGAAAGAGATACGTCACATCTTACAAGACTCATCCAAGATACGAGATTATAATGCTAAGTTGCAGAACGAATACATGAAGATCAATGATGAGGCTAGACGGTTGAAGGTTGAAAATTCTAAACTTTTTTCCCAATATGCTTGCACGGAGACATCTCTCGCCAAATATAAAGCTAAATATTATGCAAAATCAGAGGAAGTGAAATCGCTTCAATCTGTGATTAATTCATTCCCCCCGGGATACTTTGATAAGAATAATTAGCCAGATGGTCCTGAGAGAACCGATTCATATGCAAAAAGTGGTGGCAAAAAAAATAATGAGCCAGAGAGCTCTAGCGCTTCTTCAAAACAAATCATACCTGTTACTATTTGCAAAGAAAAGATTTTATTAGGTGGCTCAGGGAACTCTATTGATATAGACAAATTACTATCATCGGTGTTCACCTGCTCGATATTGCTTTTTTTATTAATCGTAATTATATGGTTAGTCGTTGTGAAAAAGCTATGGAATTTGGAGAGCATCATGCCAAAAGAAAAAGTTGGATATCCCGTCTACAAAAAATATATAAATAGAGAAGAGGTACCAAAGGTACCAGATAGGCCAGGAATAACACCTAAATATCTACCGTATGAGTACTGGCACTAGTGGGACTTCTTCGAATCTTTTTTCAATATGAGCTAATACCTTTTTTGATAAATCTTCGGGCAGATTAATTAAGACCTTTTCAGCTTGAGATACTGTATATGCTACTAACCAGCCAATATGAATCCTGTTACCGCCCTTACCATTATGCCCATAGGGTAGCAAAAATCGATACTCATCCATTGCAATATCTGTCATTTTCTCCTGATCTGCTATTATTTTACGAAATTCTTGTATATCCTCCTCTGCAATTGGAAGACAGATTTCACTAGGTTCAAAGCCTATATACTGAGAAAGTTGGTCGTGCAATTCAGCCATTATACTATGAAAGCATATATTTAAAAATACTAATATCTTTTTTCTTATAAATTCGAAAAAAGAAATACATATTAGTGGCTGGAAGTTTGAAGATAGAAATTAAAGTTAGCTGGTATTATTGCACAAAAAAAATATAAATAATATTATACAAAGCGTTTTATGACTAAGTTTTCTTAGCTAGAATTACCAGACCTTACTAAGAGTACTTAACTATATAATTCGATGATCTCATCTATATCCGCTTCGGATGAATTATCTTTTTTATCACCCTGTAACTTCGATGACGCTCAATAACGTGTGATTTCTAGGCCAACCACTTTGTACCACATGCTCTGCAAATCAGCTAATATTTCATATCCATTTTCTTGAATATATAACATATATTTTTCTAAAGTCATGGCTTTAGATTTGTGCTTACCGGCCTTAGTAACAAATTTATACATTTCTTCTCTGCTCCCTATATCGTCTTGGGAAATTTCTGCAAGTAATGTCGTTAGCTTTATGCGAATTGATTCTTCCTGCTTATCTAATGCGCTAAGAAAAGAAGACCAATAAGCATCATTTCCCGAGCATTTTACTATTTTATCAACATAAGTGGTATCATATAAATTTTTCGCATAAGTATGTGCTTCTTTCCATAGATAGGATATGATAGTCTCATCTTTTTTCGGACCTTCATGAAGATTTTTGATATATCCTCTAACCCACTTTTCGGCCGATTTCTGTGCTAAGGTATCTCTCTTTTTTGATATCTCATCTTTATTTGCTTCGTCTCCACCCACTTCGTCTTTATCCACACCATTTTCATCCGCTTCGTTCCCATCCGCTCCATCCCCATCAGCTCTATTATCCCCTTTTAACCTTTTTAAGACTTCCAGCAAAGTTTCAGATGACGGCTGATAACTATCATCATAATTTATAAAACGTGCACAGAGCCCGACAACACTTTTCAGATAATAGTTAATATCAATCTTTTTACCTAGTCGCCTTACTACCTCTGGATACTCCATTTTATCTCCCACCTTCTGTGATGAATTATTTTCAACTACAATATACTCAAAGCGCTCGCCCGGCTCTGGAATTTGGTAAAAATAAGGTTCTGGTATCAAGCCCCTTTTTATAAGTCGTTGGGCTTCAGCTTTTTCACGAATATGCCTATCTTGCATTCGTGAAATAAAGCGTTGAACAGATTTATTATTTTTATCGGGCTTCCACGCACTAGTTTGAACCAATTCATTAAGGTCTATCTGAGAAATATCGTTTATGGTTTTCTTAAATACTTCCTCTACAATCTGATGCAAGGTATGTGTATTGTTTATCTTTATAGATTCATCCATAATATGCTTTCCTATTTTGCGAAAAAGGGAAGAATGCCTTCGTTTTACAGTTTCTACCCCCCGAATAAAAAGCTTTTTATTAAAGTTTGGCTTGCTTTCATGTGGAATGCCGTAGTATTTTTTCTTTTCAGTAAATACTACTGGGAATAAGACTTCCTCATATGCCATTTTAAGATAAGAAGATCTATTATCTTTTTTGAGAAAACCATTAACTTCATCGCGAAGTTTCTCCATTATCCTCATAGAGACTTTTACCATTCGAGACCAATATTCTTCTTTTGAGATCCCATTGCCATAGTCATATGCCTCATCACATTCCTGAAAGTATCCTTCTGGGCAGACTAGATATAAAGAATCTGTATCTCCATATTTTATCTGGAAACCTTTACTTTTAACAAAATCTGCAACAAGTTTGATGTTTCTCTGTCCAGCTGATGTGACACCCCCAGCAAGTTTACGCAAGAAGAGAGGTGATGTGCTATCTCTAGCAGTACCATAAAACATATTCATGTATACTTTAAGAGCATTTTGTTTCGCATCTAAGCAAGAATAGAGAAAAGAGACTGAATTATATTCTGCCATGAATTCGTGCTTTCTTTTATTGATAAAAGGGTGTAAATTTTTGTTAAGGCTAGCACATTTTTCCTCCTCCGCTTTTGCTAAAACCTGCTCAATAGCTTCTGGTAGTGACAAATCTTTATCCATTAAACCTATTACCAGTTCCATGTCTTCCTTTTTTTCTTTCAAAGGGGCAAGACGCTTTTTCATCTCAACTCATTTAATATATAAACATTCCAACACATTGGTATAAAGACCTTTCTCTTTGGGAATGTTATTATGCTGAATGGACCATGCAAGAATATCCCGATCATTGAATTTAAACCTAATTTTGTGAAGCTTTTTGCCACTTTGTTTAGCATGCTCTCGAGATAAAATTATTTTATCAGGTGAGAGGTTGTATGTCATAATAAGGCTCGGATACAATGATGCAAAGTCCAAACCGGTTACAGGGCGTCTATTTTCAAGACCCTTTACTGGTAGAAAGACATAAGCTCCAGGATATTTTTCAGTTTCAACCCCCTCTTTTGAAATTGTACTGGGTAGGATCCCTCTTTGTCATGCACTAGCACATACAAGATTACACATCTTCATCTCAACTCAAAATAATGTGCATCAAACAATAATAGAAAGGCTATACTTGAAAGCTCCCTATATTCGTTAATTACATTGTACTTAATCATTAACTGTTGACAGCTAAGAGCATCAATAATGCAATAATCAGCCACTTTACGCATCTGCTCAGCCGTTGTAGCATTTGTTTCTTTTAATGCCCTCTCATAATATTTGTTCATGCGATGAATAAGTAAATCCATTTTGTTGTCAAAACCACACTCTCCTAAGTAATATGCAAGACTACTTTTTTCAGCTTTTGGATAGAATCCCTTAAAACGGGGCAAACATCAATAGCCACACAGCCAGGAATTTTAAGATGTTTCAAATAGAAATTTCCATCATTTATTTTTATTACATTATATCGATATTCCCATTTTATAATTTTTTCAAGGCTCGATGGCTTGAATGATATATGATTGAACATCCATTCGAGAACTTCTAATTTATTAGCCTTCTCCACAATAAATTTCTAGTCGTATTGTGAATTATTAAAGCCTATTTGTATATCTGGGGCTAAGAGTTTTCAACACAATGCGAATGCTTTTAGTAAATTGGTCTGGGATCCACATATGATTGTAATCTATTGCGAGTCTGGCGCTGTTTCAATATCAACAAGACAAATTTGTTTTAATGATTCGGGATCATCTTTCCAGTGAACTGTCATACAAATCATGAATACAACATCTTCTTCGTATTTTGCATTAGGCATCTCACCCATTTTTCGTGAGCTATATGTTTCAATATCCCACATGAGAACAAGGGTATGATCCTGTGAAAGTGCCGAGGAAAATAATAGATTATTATAATCGCCTTCATTTATTGGATTGTAATTATTCACAGATACTTGGAAGAGATAAATACCCCCTGAATGTGTTCGTATAAATAATTACTTAATACTGCCCAACTCGAAAAAGGTAATTTTTCTTCACAGGCTACTTTGCGGTAATAATACTGGCAATATAGATCATCCGAAGCTGTACACATACCAACAACATGGACTGCTTTTAATGCATTATACCGGTCGTAGTGATTCCATGTTCTCACACGAATATATAGTTTCTTTTCTGTATGATACCCTTGAAGTGGGAAAGCACTAATAGTCTCAATCCCAAACCTCAATGTGCTATTAAGAATATTAGATAATATCTTTACTAATTTGGTCTTAAACATAGATAACGGCATCTCTTCAGGTACTTTGACATCAAAGAAGGGTTTGATGCCTGTAATATTTACGACTGCCTTTTGCCCATTAATCAAAGAACTGGTGATATGCAAAATATAAGTGGAGATCCCATTTATATATTTAGTATCATCACTAACTTCAGTAGGCATAAAATGTATAAGCTATTTGCTAGATAGGCTTTGTTGAATCAAAGGGGTGGTTCTATTATCGAATTCTGCCACAATATCATTACATGATTGAACACCGGCTATGGTTTTGGCGCCGTCGTAGTGGGCAAGGGGGCCGGTTTCAGTGCGATCAGTTTGGTCAAAAATAGTTGAGGTATGCATGTTGACAGTAGGTAAAGTTATTATATCACAATATATTTCCAAAATGTTTAATTAATTTTTTTAATAGATACAAAAAAAGAAGCAATGGCGAACTTAGCCAACAAATCGTAAAAGGAGAGTATCTAAATATACAACTAAAAGTGAAGATAACTGCGTAATCTATTATATAAATATTGGCAGAAGCCTTCATTTTTCAAGATATGTTCTCGGGAATAGTGAAAGCATCTAGACGTGAATAAATGCATTCTTGCTAGGTGGAATTCAGGGTAAGTAAGTTCGTAATAATTATATTCTGACGTGATTTTTTTTGATAGATATAAAAAAGAAGCAATAGCAAACTTAGTCAACAAATCGAAAATAGAAGGTAAGCAGATATGTATCCGAAAGTAGGGCCTTCTTCAGAATTATTATATAAAATAATAGAAGAAGGCCCATTTTTAGATAGGTACTCGGGTATATGTGGGTATTTAGAGTAAGCTAGTATGCACCCGAGTATATGTGACATATATTAAATACTTATACTTGGGTAGCAAATCATAAAAGGAGGACATCTGAATATGCATCTGAAAGTGTAGGCTTCTGCAAAATCATTATATATATAGTCGAGTATGGTATAAACTCGGATATAGTATGAAGGCTTCTGCGGAATTATATTATATAAATATTGGCAGAAGCCTTCATCTAGTCGGGTGTTACTAAAAAGTCTCGATGACAAAAAAGGCATTCAGATATGTATCCAAAAGTGTAGCCTTCTTCAGAATCTTTATATAAAATAATGGAAGAAGGCTACACTTTTCTGGATGTGTACTCAGATATGAGGTAACTTTGAAAGTGCTTAGGAATAGCAATATATGGCCAGTGCAATAGGCATAGTAAATTATGATTTCGGCCAGCACTATTTTATAATTTCGGTCAGAACTTTGGGCAAAAGAACTTGGTATCCAAGCCGGCATATAAGTAGTCTGAAACTGGCGAACTAATAGAACCTTTTTGGTTCTCTACCAGTTTTCTGCTAGTGCCATAATAGTTCTAGATACTATCGCTCTACTACTATGGTGCTAAGTTGGGATTCTCAAATCATGTGTTCTAAAGATCAGCCAGAATTATAGCATAATCTCAGCCGAAATTAACTACGAATTTACTGCACCACTTGATGTGATATTTTTTTTTACCACAATTCAGTATTTTAATAGACAACCAAACAGGCGCAAAAAGATAAACACCTTGATATAGAATTTGTCACCCAAACAGGTGCAGAGGGCCAGCACCCTCAATATAAAACCAGGTATCCAAACAGTTATAGAAGGCTAGTACAAACAATATAGAATTTGGCGTGTAAATGGATTAGGAACAAGAAGGAAATAGCAGTATTTAGATCATATGGTGGTAGTTAGATTAAATAGTAGGTGGTAGTTAGATCGTATGGTGATAAAATATAAATATTAGAAAGAATTCAAAGAGATAGCTAGAACATAAAATAGATATCCGATATAGGAAATATATAGATTATATAGTAGCAATTAGATTACATGTTTAGATTATGTAGCGTTTATTAGATTATATTATTTAGATCATATAGTGGTGCTCAGATTATATACTGTTATTCAGACTATATAGAGATATCTAGATTATATAATGATATTCGGATTATATAGTGGTATTTAGATTATATAATCTAACCTAAGTGGGATACCACCTATAATATAATTATATTATAGGTGGTATCCCACTCCTGGAACTATGCGAACAGCTCTCCTAATGGCAGCAGCAAGTGGCTTGAGATATGGGTCTTCGGACGGCAGCAGCACCTGGCTTGAGATACAGATTAGAAACTGAAGTAACATCTCGAGGGACACCAAACTGGAAGCATAAAGAGCGCCCACTCCTAGGACACAAATTTGGAAGTTATACAAGAAACAAATTAGGAGTAATGTGATAAGTGTTAAGGGGTGGATTATAACTAGTAGACGTTATACAGTAGTATATATAGTGGGGTATATATGAATTAGTAAATATATTAAGGTTCTGAGTTAGGTCAGAACTTAGGGTGCTTCTTGATAGAGGTACCCAAGGATTTCCATCTCATATATGAGATGGTGCAGGCGGTTGCATCTGGGCACCATATAGGGTAGCCAGGTGAGGTTATAACGATACTTAAATAAGTTAAAAGTATATATAAATATATGTAATATTCACTTAAATAAGTAATAAAATTAATGACAAAATTGTCAGTTAAAAAAAAAAAAAAATAAAAATAAAGTTTCTACTATAGCATTATAATAATAAATAAATAAAAAAAAAAAAAGATAATTTTAGCTGAAATTATATTTGATACTCCAGCTGACCCACCCCAAATCAGCTAATTTCTGGAAGCCCTCTTACTCTTATTACTCTAACTTTTATTAATATATTTTACAAAGTAAAAAATATTTGTAAAAATTCTGTATCTTTTTCAACTTTTTTAAAAATTTAATATTTTTTGTTTTTTTTTGCTTTGAGCTTCATAATTTAATTTTGCAACTGCTTTGGTTTAATATTTAGCAGCTCTAGTGTAGCTATTGTTTTAATTATATCTTTTTTTTGTATGCTTTTTTAATTAATTGGTGATCTACCAGTCAACCAGAGAATGATCATAGTAAAATGTGACTCAAATTACTTATAAAAATTAAGGGTCTCCAAATGTGGCATATGCGCATCTAAAACTTTTTTTTATACTAAGTTAATCACTTTCCTAACTTAGTATAAAAAAAGGTTTTAGATGCATACACGCCATATTTGAAGACCCTTGATTTTTATAAGTAATTTGAGTCACATTTTACTATGACCATTCTCTGATTGACTGGTGGATCACCAATTAATGATCTATTATTCAATAGGTATAGTCAACTTCCTTTAAGTATATGTTCTCTAAGTGCAGATTCTCTCTATCTGCAGAAAAATAGCCTAGTCCCAAGTCGGAACTTATAAAATAAATACATATTCTATATTTTCT